ACCCCCAGATAACCAGGGATCGATCCTCCTCACATACATCCTTTCTTTCGGCCGCAGCTCAGAACTGTCAGAGCTCCGGCTGAAGGAAGCCAGAGCTTACAGGAGCTGCTCTGCGGTCTGCATCCGACACAGATGAAGACTGTGGAGCTGCTCCCTCAAGTCAGGTACAAGGTCTGCGACCATGTGCCTGACATGTCAGCTGGCTGCGGGCCACATAGTACCGGCTCGCAGGCTGGAGTTGGCCTGCGGACCGGTACTTGGAGACCCAAATGGAGACCCAAATTTCCACTCGCCCTCACTTTACGTGCCAAATGCGAGCAGTGGAAATTTTTAGCCCTGCCATACAACAATCAACTGGAAAAAATGTGACAAGTGATGATACTGACACTTGGTTGATAAGGAACCAAAAATTACTTTTAAAAGAAGTTTATCGGTAATAATGGACCAATCGACCCCCAGGTTATCCCTATCTAACCTCTACCTTATCCTTCAGAATATCTATCAACAACCAGATAATTTCATACCACCATTCGTACAATTGTGGGCTCAGCTCATAGGTCAATCCCTGGAAGAAACCTATGCTAGTATCCTGAAGGGGTGGCAGCAAATCAGGAAACATATCATATGTGAATCCTGGCGGGAGGTCCAATTTAAATTGTTCCACCGAGCTTATTATGCCTTTAATTTCATTCCTAAGTCCGCCTCACCTGATTGGCTGCAGCACTGTCCCAAATGCAAACTTCACCACCCTGATCTCATCCACCTGATGTGGTCTTGTCCTGTGATAACAACCTTCTGGCAACGGGTTGTGGATTATATGAACTCTTTGTCAGGTGAGGTGAGGGGACCCCTACCATCCCTCTGTTTGTTACACGATATACCCCACGATCCCTTGGATACGACCCCTCCAATTTCACGCTGGGAACATCTCTGCTTGTTGGCTTCCAAAAAGACCATCCTCACCAATTGGCTGCTCCCTGCCGTGCCAACTGTGCTAGATTTGTCCAACACCCTTCATAGGCTCATGCTTTTAGATAAGTCTGACTCCTTGCACAATGAAAAAAGAACAGGGCAATTTTTTAATACATGGTCTGCTTTCCTCACTACAACATTATCCTTAGATCAACTTAGGGACCTCATGTTACCCTTCCGGGCCTCCAAATGGTATGATATAGCCAAACTAGACGGCTCCTTGGGAGCCTTAGATGTCCTATAATACTGCCTCTGGCGTAGCCCTCCCGCAGGGTACTGGGCTGCGGCGGTAAATTTTAGTACCCCAAGACACAGGAGAACCAGCCCTCTTTCCTTGTTTTGTTCCTCTGTCTGCCATGCCTCGACCCTGGACATTCATACGGTCTGTCCCATTGTCCCGTCTTCACTGTTGCTCCATTCCTAGTTGGTACACTCCTCCATTAGGCCCCCTCGAATCCTACGATGACGCATTCTATGTTTGTCTTGGTGTTTGTCCTCTTTTCTCTTTCTGTAAATTGCCACTCAGTTTATGGTTTGTTAGATGGTGGCTATACTGACCTTTGGATTATGACATATTTGCATACCTTCTTTGTCACCATGTATATATCTGTAACCTTATATAACGTTTGATCTATAGTATACTGGATTTGTTTCGGGTTACTAGGAGGTCTTTTTTACTGAGATGTCTTTTTCATATGTATATGCTTCAAAACCTTAATAAAAATTACATGCATAAAAAAAAAAGAAGTTTATCTTGGAGTTGATCCACATATATCTTTACCCAATAGTACCTTTAACTCTGGTATGTGTTCATATTGCAAGTGCCTTAATACACAGTGAATTGTGACCTTACAAAATTGCTAACAATAGAGATGGAAACATTTCATTAAAAGAGAACTACAGCCAAACTCCTTTTTTTGTTATATTTCTCTTTTGTGTCGCAGGAATACATTTACACATTTACTAATGTAATGGAATAGAGACCAGGGGCGGACTGACCCATCGAGCAGTCGGGCGCTGCCGGAGGGCCCGCGACCACCACGGGGCCCGTGGCCAGGCATCTGTCCTGTAACAGGCGGCAATTCCACCGCAGCCTCCGCATTGCAACCCCCCTCTGTCGGAGAGGAGAGAAGCCGCGCGACGGGCCCTCTAGCGTGGCTTTTCCCTCCAGTGCTGGCGGAACTACTTCCGCCTCTTCCTACATCCTCTCCTGCAGAGAGGAGAAAGCGAGCCCGACCGGCGTGTGGTGGAGACTGGAGGGCAGCCAGCGATGCTGCAGCAGCCATCGGTGGCATCGGAGGAGGGCAAGAAGGAGGCTGATACCGGTGGAGGGACACAAGGAGTTCAGGTTAGTGAAGCCCTCTTCTTTAATTTTTTCTTTAACATTTAATTCTGAAGTTTTTTTTTTGCACTTTGTACAATATATAAAAAATACAGGGTAGCAAAAAAAATAAAAAATGGCACTGCTTCGCCCCCCCCCCACCCCCGCCGCAGTGCGATCAGGACATGTGGCAAAACGTTGCCTGCATTCCATTCCACTGCAAACACAAAAAATAGCACAAGCAGCATTGCAGTGGAACATAACGCAGGCAATATTTTGCCACGCATCCAATCTCACTACGGGAGGGGGGAGGTGGCTGCAGTGCCTTTGACTTAAATGCACCGCAATGCCCCCCTCCTACCCCTGAACGCAGCGGGAAGATTTGTGAGTGATTGCGGTGCGTTCCAGCAGCTACCGCTCTGGAAAGCACCGTGATTTGTGTGAACAAGCACTAAGGGCCCAGTCCCACCATAAGGAGTGCGTTCAGCCTCTGGAATGCAACCCGGCGGCTCACTTTGTTTTGGGGCAGTAGGGGGCGTGGTGGTGCATTGAACTCAATGGTACCGAAGCCTCGCCCCCCGCCTGCAGTGCAATCGCGGCACCGGAATGCGTAACACTTTAGTGCCTGCGTTTTCCGGCCCAGTGCGATCTGCAAAAATGCTCCATGCACTATTTTGTGCAGATTGTACTGGCCCAGAATGCGGGCACTAATGTGCCGTTGAGTTCAATGCACCACCACACCCCCTCCTGCCCCAAAACAAAGTGAGCCGGGTATAATTTACAGTGTTTATAGAAAAGTATTTACCCCTCCTCCCTCCAGCAGTTTCAGTGATCCTTTTTTTTGTTTTGTTTTTTCATCATGCATTTTTCTATTTTAAAAGCACCCCTCGTTATAAAATAGTAAAAAACGTGCTGGAAAAAAAAATCATTCTTTTTTTTCAAATACTGTTGTCCTTGGTCACATCTGCTGCTAAAAAAATTCCATGTAAAAAATCCAGCTGCCCAATACCAGTGAGCAGATCCTTCTTAAAGAAGAACTATGGGGTCAGGGCTTTTCCCCATAGTTCTCCTAAGGGTAATGGAAGAACACAAACTAGCGTCCTCCAGTCACCCTACAGCTTGTGGTATACTGAGACGCCGCAGCCGGGACCTGAACTATGGGGTCAGGGCTTTTCCCCATAGTTCTCCTAAGGGTAATGGAAGAACACAAACTAGCGTCCTCCAGTCACCCTACAGCTTGTGGTATACTGAGACGCCGCAGGGGACCGATCTCAACACCGGTCCGGTCTGGTCTGGATCCACCCAGCTGCGTGAGTGACAGCTGGCTATGCTTTTCTAGAGGCAGAGCCAGCTGTACCGGCCCCCTCCCCGTCCATTCCTCCACTCAGCGCTGGAGGATCGGAGCGGGGAGAAGGGAATCCCTGCAGGGAGCCGTGACTGACAGTCACGGCTCTCTGCAGGGGGATGATCGAGAAGTGAGCGAGCGCCGGTATTGTTCACTCACTTTCCGATTTATAGAGCCGACGTGTGACAGTTTCATTCAGTTTACATCTGACCTCTGCACTCTCTGCGTACCTTACTTCTAACCTTGGCACTCTGTGCTTTCCTTACTTCTGACCTCTGCACTATGTGTGCTCCTTACATCTGACCTCTGCACTCTGTGCGTTCCTTAGATTTTCTCTCTGTACGTTCCTTACATCTGACCTCTGCTCGTTCCTTAGATTTGACCTCTGCACTTTGTGCGTTCCTTAGAGCTCCAAGACCCATGATGCATTGCAAGACTTTTGCATATGCATGGCTCCCACGGTAAGATTCATGGTGGGATTTGTAGTTTTACCACAGCTAGAGGAATGACATTTGCCCACCCCTTGTAATAATGCATTGGGTGCATTCTATATGTGCAAAGCCCAAGGGGGCCCCATAATCTCTTATCGCCAGGGGGCCCCATATGTTGTCAGTCCGCCCCTGATAGAGACAGTGCTTTCAGCTTTACGGAAACATTCTTACAAAATCTAATTGAAAGTGATTTAATTTGCAGCATTTCTATCCAAGATAGCTTAACTTACTAAGTGCAAAAGCATCTAAATAGAGTATATGAACACTAATTGCAGAATATCATACCTGACAGGGCTTGTTCCTATGTCTAGATCTTGTGCTGTTACAGCTCCTATGATTGTACCAACAGGAGTGTCCTCATACACTTCCATTGTGTAGAATGGCTTGCTGAAGACTGGAGGCTCATCAACATCTAACACGTTTATTTTCACAGTCGCAGTGTCTTTAAATGGACCCACTGAGTTGAAATGATGATCCACATGAGTATTGGAGGCTTCCACTTTAAATGTGTATGCTTTTTTTGTCTCAAAATCTAGTGGCTGAAAGAAAAGATATATAGTTTGCAAGAATACTTCAGTGTCAAGCCAAAAGTAGATTTTCTTTTCATTACATGCCCCATATGGAATCATTTATAAGTTAAGATTATATGATAAAGAAATGAGATAATATTTGATCACACACCATACAAAAGAACTGGATGATTACAAGGATGCAATTTGAAATTAAAGATGTGTCTCCAAAATGCCATCTCATCCTATTTAAAACATAGTGTATTACAATGCAAAAAAAATAGAACTAAAGAAGCATTTTCTAGAATTGTTCTCTTACAGATTGGACATGGAAACTGCTGGAGTTCAGTAGATGATCCTTATCCAAGGCTGACATCTAGTGTTCACACAGAAGCTTGTCTGCTTAACATTCAGTTTAAATCAGAAAAATATTGTCATTAAAAAGAGCTACTGAGCACTGGAAAAATTACTGACCATGGTATAAAATATTATTATTTGTAGAGTTTATTCTCTTGATGGCATAATAGTTCACTATGATAGTGTAAATGCTCTCTATATAGAAGAATCTATTTTGAGTTCTGATTCTAATTCATTAGAATAAAGTCTGAAAGACACAGTAATATGTGACACAACTACAAATATAACTGTACTACTGTAATCAAACACCTGATTTTAAATCTTTACTCTTTTTTTCAAGATTAACTCATGGATCTAAATATATTTCTAAATTTACAGTAAGAGTTTAAAATGTGCATATATTACATATAGCGGATAATATATGGTTTACTTCATTTAACCCCTTCTACTGATAGTCACTGTGTCTAATTTTACATGTCATGTAGCTGGAACATTTATTTCATATACACATTAGACATTTTAAAGTTTAAGAAAGACCCCCACAGCCATATATTTTCTGAAACCACAGGACCTACAGAATTAAAAGTTGGTGCTGTTCACAAATGTTTATAAAAGCAATGCTATTATAAAAATACCCCAAAATTATAATTGGTACAAACCAAATACATCATAATTTAAATTCCCACATAATATTAAAGTTAAAACTGCAGTGAGTTAATAAATAACACATATGTATAATATTGATATGTTATGTAATATTGTGCATTTTTTAAATAAACAGTTGAAATAGGGGTTTGTGCTTCATAATTATGCATACATGTGTGTTATTACTATGTGGGCATGTTGTGTGTGCATGGACGTTTATGTATTTCTTTTTGCCACTTAATTTCATTTTTTATACTTTTATTATTGTCTCCTGGGTGGCTGGGAAGACTACTAATGACAGTACACAGTGGCAAGTAAAGGTATGTGAAGCACTTTGAATAAACTGCTTTTCTGCAATAATTTGCCATAAAATGTGATCTGATCCTCATCTAAGTCACAACAATGGACAAACACAATGTGCTTAAGCTGATAACACACAAACAACTCTTATTTCTCATGCCTTTATTGAACACACCCACTAAACATTCACAGTGCTGGAGGAAAAAGTAAGTGAACTCATAGACTAATTACTTACGAAAGCTAATTGGAGTCAGTAGTTTGCACACCTTGTCAAGGTACCGTGCACTGGTGTCCTCACACCGCATGCAGGTACCCACATGGGAGGACCAAATACATGACCACACCAGAAACTGCCACTGAGCTTATATACAGTGTATTATACACACCAAAACATAACATATATAACTCCACCAACACCCACAAGTAACCACAAACAAGTAATAGTAACTAACTAAATATAAACACAAGCACATACAACAAGGTAATGGGACAAGTAAACCCAGGGAGCAAAATAACACAAGGGGAGCCATGGGGCAAAGGTCAAGGTACTAGGGGTCACCAGGATACAGGACTCAGGAAATGGCAACAATACTGAGCCAAAGTCCTGATTGCAGGGAGGGATTAAATACCCTTCCAGGTAGCACCAGGTGGTGAATAATCGCGACAGCTGGGAGACACCTGCAGGTGAGCACTGGAGTTGCAGGTTCCAGCACCACCCAGTGGTGGTCTGGTACCTGACAGCTCCTGGCTGCCATGAAACACCTGCAGGTGAGCGCAGAAACAGCAGGACCTAGTTCCAGCACCACTTGGAGGTGCTATGGTTCCTGACACACCTGGAGTTCAATTAATGAAATGAGTTTGGAGAGGTGGTTTCAAGCTAGTTTTATTGATAATAGACACTCACACATTTTAAGATTGCTGTTCATAAGAAGCATCAAGTGATGTGAACCATGGCTTGCAAAAGGAGTTATCTGAAGACATTTGATCAATTAAAGTTGATCTGTTTTGACAGTCCTCTTTATGCAGATATCAGGAGTCTAATTACAGTAATAAATACATGTCTGCACTATATGCTACAGGAAAAGACTGGGGGCACAGACGTTTTAATTTAGTAAAAGAATAGAGGTTGTTAACTATACAAAGTGTATGATCACCTAGCTTAGTAAATAGGTTGAAACTGTGATCACTTTGCATATTCAATTATAAGCAAGGGAAAAAAACAAACAGGATTTTCGCCTCTATGTGAATGGCTAACTGAAGTAAACCGCATTTCACTTATTTCATTAAGGTACGTATACATTCTCTTTGGGTTTTTTGTTTGTAAGAAGATCGAGGAACAAGTAAACCATGTTCACTGATCACACTACTCAGAATCCTGGGCTGTAGAGCCAGTGAGAAGAAAGCTAACAACAGGGAATGTCGTTGATTTTGTTGCTGGCGTTGGCAAAGAATTAGAAGTGGTGGTAGAGTGTGTGTGTGTGTGTGTGTGTGTAGGGGTGGTAATTTGTAGAAGTTATCAGGGTAGATATTTAGTTTTAAGATAATTTTTTACAAAATGTAACCACTTTGTGCTTGTATACTTTTGGAACATAGCAAATCAGCGATAACACAAAGAATGTTTTCTCTTATTTTGTCTGATTTATATTGACAATAAAATTATGTTTACATAATTGAAAGAATTAAAATAATAGCTAAAGAAAGAAGGTGAAGAAGGAATTATTTATGACTGGTCAGGCTTAACGGATGATTAATAAGGTCAATTAACCTGACTTATTAAATAATATTGCTACATTGTAATTATTATTGACATTGCAGACACTGTTCTGCAAGTGTCAGTTTACACAAGAGCAACTTTTGCCACTCCTATGTTATACAGCAAGTCCTAACTATCAAAATGATAGCCAGGATGTGTCGTTAATTGGGGGTAGTGATCTGTGGGGAAGGAAGAGGAGCAGTATTTAAAGGAGAGTATTTAGATTAAGTTTTTAAAGGTGTATGTAATAATTCCACAATTGGTTAAACAAGTTAATATAATATTCAATTTGTAAGCCCACTTTTAGTCATATGAAGTCAGATTTACGGTCTCAGTGTTGCCCTTCATAAAATCATAATACAGGTTGGGGCACCAATCAGTTTGCTTGCCTGATTTAATTAGCATAATTCTAATGCCCAGCTATATAATTAGATGCCATTCGGGTGGAAATTTTAAAAGAACATTTGTTTACTCTGTCTTGTCTGATAAGGAAAAGCTTGTCTGATCCTGACCCCTCTACTGAAAAACATAAATTGAATAGTATTCATTAAGTGCAAGCAAAGTCTGCATCACTGAATAATTATAGTTTAATGTTATAGTCAATTTAGAGGCAACATACAATATTTTATTGAGACAAATGGAAAGAGCAGTTTCTGCATAGTTTATGTGTGTATATATATATATATATATTGTACTGTGTGTGTGGGTTGTGTTAAAAATGTGCAGCTTACAATTCATGCAACAGTACTCCAGTGCCACGAACAAAATATGATGCTAAAAAGCTGATAAGCTGATAAAAAGACAATATATTTTTTATTTTAATGACCATCATGTGCAAATGTGTTCCACAAACAGCACCATGAAACTGCAAATAACTGCTTCATGCCTAAATGCTAATCTTCTAAATTACATACTTTTCCAATACACCCAACACTAAAATGCTAACAAGCAGACTTAGTGATCTAAAATACATACTATATACAGTAAATACTTGAAATGCGAAGATATAAAACACGGGACTGGTGTTGGTCATTTGTTTTTTGTTTGATATCTATCATCTATATGTATACATATAGATGATAGATATCACATATACATATGTGTACATATTTATAAGTCACATTTGCCTGTACAGTAACCAAATAAAGAAACCATTACCAATATTTGGCAATGTCTATTCTTATCACCGTGTCACAATATTCCCCTCATGTTCTATATACTGTATATAATTGTATAATTGACAAATGTAACCTTACAAACAAGTTCCAGTGTGTAATTAAAATAATAATTTTTAATAAAACCTTTTTTTCAAAATCTTCCTCCAACCAGCCTTTTGCTGTGTTGTAAAGTCGTTCTAAAGAGGCAGTCATTGGTGTAACACATTTCTCTGTGTGTTGGAGTCAGTAAAGCCTTCCATTTCCCCACTTAATGAAGTTTCTTCTGTCCCTTGATGGTACACAAGGTAAGAACTGTGTTCCACCAATAGTTACACATACCTTTAGGATGCTTAAAGAGACCTTCGTGGCACTTACAATTTGAGCTCTTGGAAGTCAGTGTTTGCTTGGATAAAAACTGGGCCAGAAACAAGATGTGCTGCAGACATCTGGGAAGGATGGTATGCCTCTCATGTCTGATTCTGTTGTGAGGAGTCAGAATGGAGTGAACTCCCAGAGGAGGGTTTATGAGGCCTACCTGAATGAGCAGTGAGACCAGTGGGTGAAAGCCAATTCATATCTGTTTGAGTTGAATGTCAGATGCCCCTGCTCATGAATCCTATTGAGGGCTGCAGGATATGGCTTGGGAGCACAGGCTATGTTTGTAGCCTTAAGTGGTGTGAGAAAGATGTATGCTCAGAAAATGTACTATTTCCCTCTTCACCTGACTTATAACATGGGAATCTTCAACTCAGGAATGTGTCCTTACAGGCTGTTCTAGCATTATTGCTTTTGGCAGCTGTGTGAATAACCCCTTTAGA